CATTGAATTCCGAGAATGCTCCCCCCCTCCCCCTCCCACACTACTCACACACGCACGAGCGTAGTGCTGACCCACAACGCTTTACTCTAACCACGCGACGTCACGTGCGTTGCGCCCGGCCGGCGTCGAGGGGCCCAAGTCAAGTCCCTTGGCTCGCACTCAGTGGCCGAGCCAAAACACCCCACTAACCTTAGCTGCCGGAGGCGGAGTATCGCGCTGGATGTTGGCGGGCCCTGGACTGGCGAGATACTGAGCCGGGCCGTCGTAGGTCGGCGTCAGCTCGTCGCCGCCCTCGCCCGCCCCCGCTCCCCCCGCTTCCTATCCCCACTTCCTCCCCTCTCCGCCCCCGGCCCGGTGTTTACCTGCAGACCGCCCGCCCATGCGTGCTCGGCCGAAGAAGATTGGGGCGAGATGACGATGACTCGACACGGCGCGCGCCGCCGTCGGCGTCCGGGCCTAGCCGAGCGAACCAGGCAGGACCACGTAATGGTGTTTTCTGGGGGTGGCCCAGGCCGGCCCAGGCCACCCCTTCGTTCGTTAGCCGGTACCAAGAACCAAGATAACGCCCACCATAACAGACTGGCCGCGCGGCTTTGGGAGGCAGCGCACTTATCGTTGCATGTCATGTGTAATTGTCTAACACTTTTAAAAAGGTCACGGTGACATAGCGAGTCATATTGCCGGTTCAAAACTAAGACAAAATTGTGGTTTTGGAGGGCAGTTGTACACTCGTTCGGACGTAGAATACTTTTACGTATCCGTGTGATTGGGTTGTCTATGACGAGTAGGCTTAAAAGCTGTGATGGTTGTCCGTTTATTATTGAACCCAAATGGAGTTAATGTCGATACACACATGGATTCTCAAGCACTTATAGCCATTCGGGAGCATGCCCATTAGAATATTCGTTCCTTTACTTGATGGAAAACAAACCGGAATAAAGACAGAAATTACTTCTATGATTTACTTAAAAATCAAACAGAGAAGATTTGTGAGATAGTGAGAAAAGAACACTCAAACGAGCTTATTCTAGGTAATGTCATTCGAAAAGAAACATTAGAGAAATGATCTGTATTCAACAATGTCGAGGGGTCAGATCTATGTTCGAATCTGCTTTCTGACTTTTTCCTATAGAGGATCGTCCGGAAAGTACGTCCGTTGCACAGATTTATTCGACAAATTGCGAAAGCTTGGCGCCTGCGAGACTCAAGATAGGCCACCCCGCAGTACACACATGAACTGCAGGCAATATGTTATCTACCTACCAGGCGCTATGAGAGCTCGCAGGGGCTGAACTTTGCAGGCTCGTAACGGCGGATGGCGGACGTACTTCCGGCAAGAAATATTCACCGGTGCTGCTTTTGTTGCTATGCGGATCAGAATCCGGACAATTCGAGCAACGTGAATCCGAGATTAGATTATCCCTTCCGACACTGCTTCTTGATGGACACCTGCACTGCGGTCACATCGCGCTCGATATAAGTCAAAAGCAGATAAGCGCTGTACGGGGAATCTCAGCCTCATAGACTGACGACCGTGTCAAAATATAACTAAAAGGTAACTTAATAGTAAAAACAGGAATTATAACAAAACAAATTTTTGTAATACATTCCGCTCTCTCATTCGCTCAATTTTTTAAAATATGCTCACAGCCAAGGTACGCAGGTTCCGAGACGGACTTTGTGAACTTGGGCCTCTAGGGCTCTTACGCCAGAAGAAATGAGGCCCTTATTCATAAAAAATATACCGCCAATATGCGCCTGCCTGGTTAAAAGGTATGGACTAGTGCGACTAAACAATTGTTAACAATGCATTGCAAAGCTGTTCGAAATCGCACGCCCTTGCGAGGGAGATTTCCAAATAAAACTGTACAAAAATACAATACGCATTAACATTTAGCCCGATATGAAAAACTTTACAGGCAAAACAGCCAGCTGTTTTGTTCGTCTCAACAACGTGGATGGGTTTTCAGTTAACCACATATTCCCTAAAATTTATTGTACGGCGTTTTGTGATGCATCACAGATGAAACGCATCACGAAACTGAGCCTACGCCTGCGGGCGCTGAACTATTTCTGTCACTTTATAAATTCCTACAGCGGACTTTTACCGCCGCCACTTCCGTTGAAGCAAGGTGCGTGATAGCTTCGAACTACAAGTTCTTCACAACCTTAAGTCGAGCATTGTTCACTGCGGTGGACACTCTAGATAGTAGTTGCGATTAGCGAATATGATGGGCGCGGTATTCCGCCGCACCCTCTACGCGGTTTAAAAATTAACATAATGAGCAGTAGCCTACATATGCTTTTACGGTTTATCGACAAAATTATTGTTTTGTTATTGCTTCAGAATTTTGTATTCTGTATAATATATATTCTTTTGTCTCTGAAGTGTTTACTAACTTGTCTTTGAGTAAAATATATTCGAGCAGATATGTAAGTTCCAGCAAGTCATTGTTATTGTTCATGAAGCTTTGGGCTTTCGCCGTTGCGTGCTGCATGGGGCTTACGCAACGGAAAAGTCTTGATTGTCGTTGGCCTGTTTGCCGAAAAATGCACGCCACACACACGGCCTTTAAATCTTGAACAACCATGTCGTCGGCGATGCCCCTCGCTGGTCGTCAGCAGCACGGGGTACCGCCGGCACATGGGGCGCTTCTCGCAATTATTATTTGTTGCACTACAGCGACTGACTGCAGCACCGAGTCATTGATTTGTAATAAAACTGTCTGTTGTCTGCCTCAGGCTCCCATGATCTTTTTGACGGTGTAGCCCGGCACGGAGTAGAAGAAGAGCAGCAGCATGACGGCCACGGCGAGCACGATGAACACCTTGAGGATGGCCCACTTGTAGTTGTGCCACACGATGTAGCGGATCGACTTGAGCGGGTTGAGGAACCACATGAAGGACGCGTCGGGTCGGCTAAGAGGTAAAATAAAACAGATAGTGAAAAACGTTTCCTAGCCTATATGCCTTGCCTCCCTCCACCCTTCACCATCCACCTACGATACTCACTTTGGTTTCTCCAGCGGGTCGGGCTCGTTCCTACCCAGTCCGGCGGGGTTCTTCTCGGCTTCCTCTTTGGTGAGCAGGTGGATCTCGGCCTCGACTTTCCCCTGCGAGAGAACAAACTCCGTGAATGATTTGGAAGTCAACTGTTTCCTAACTGCGGACCGTAGTAGTCGAGTTTCTACACGCACCGTGAGCTCCATCTCCTCGTTCTCCTTCTTGACGTAGAACGGCCACCAGCCCTTGACGCGCTTCTGCTTGAAGATGTTGACCATGGGCACGCTCACGTCCGTGCGCAGCATGGAGAGCGTGCACAGCTTGGAGCTCTTGGCGCCGCGCGGGAAGCGGTTCAGGTCGAGCGTGATGGCGCCCAGGAAGTCGTCGGCCGAGAAGTGGTCCGCGTCCCAGACCTAAAAGAATCAGGGAAAAATAAAAATAAAATCAATAAAAGGTAATTTTTTAAAAATACAAAAAAATAGTAAAGTAAAAATCAGAAAAAAATGGGAAAGTAAGAAAAATGGGTGATTTAAAAAAAAAAATAGGGAAAGTCAGAAAAAATAGAAAATGGACGCTTGAATTTATGGTGGCGGACTCCTTGCCTGCAGCTCGAGGCGCGCGGGGATCTTGCACTCGGTCTCGTCCCACGAGAACATGGACTCCTTGCGCGAGATGACGATCTTCTCCTCGGCCACCAGGTAGTCGAAGGGGAAGACGAAGCGCCAGTTGAAGTTGCCCTCGCCGGTCAGGGAGCGGTAGTGGATGTCGGTGCACTGGCAGTCCTCGGGGCCCTTGAGCCACCTATGGAGCACGAAAGCGAAAAGCAACAGTCAGTCGCGGGGGGTGTGAGATTCATGGCCGCACCGGTTCCGCTCGCAGCAGCGCTCGACACCCACCCCTTGACGTAGATGTCCGACATCTTCTCGCCCGTGAAGAAGGCGTCGTCCTCCAGGACCACGTCGTCCGTGTTCCAGATGACGACGCGCAGCTCGTACGACTTGGGCTTGCGCGGGGAGATGTCGAGCGGCGGCCCCGGCAGCGGCATGTCCATGGGGAACATGTCGACCCACATCTCCAGCTTACCCTGCCGGAAAAAAACACATAGGAAAAGTGTCATCGGCGGAACTCTCTCCGCGTCGATGCTGAGCGAGGGGGAACGAAATGGAGTTTGGGGGGAGTACCTGTTCGATGCCCGGCTTCTCCACGTTGTACAGCGGCCTGGTCTCGATGTGCTCCGGGACGAGCTGGCAGCCGATCCGCGGGAACTCGTGCCAGCGGTGCAAGACGGCGAGGGCCATGTGCTCCTCGAGGACTGCGGGCGACAGACAAGCAAAGCGTTAGACGGGGCGGGGCGGACTGAATCAATGTTGGCGAGCAACTCGCTCACTCACCCTTGGGGCTGAAACACGCCTCAAAGTCGTCGTTCTGCAGGAAGAAAGTTCGCCGGCCCACTTTCACTTTGCCGTTGGAGTAAACGGGCGGCTCCAACTTGCCGTCCTTGCACAGCTTGGCGAGGATCTGAGTCGGCTTCATGGGGTCGCGCCACTGGTTGTAGCCCCCGCTGTCAAAATGAGATCCAATTTCGACGTTGAGTTATTTTTTCAGAAGCAAACAAACAAACAAACAAGCAAAACGGCTCCGTTTCTTTCAACTCACTCCTCGTATTTGGCGGCAATGCCGCATGTGGCGCGGTGTCTGCTGTAGAATCTGTTCTCCAGGTCGATCCTCGTCTCGCCGATCATGTCGTCCGATCCGACCAGATCCCAGTCCAGGATCTGCACCGTTAGCATCGAGTCCTGGGGGAACGTGGCCTCGAACTCGAAGCACCTGCGGGCGGAAAACGTTACTTACGAATAGGAATCAGATGTTGGGGGGGAGGGGGTGAAGAGGGTTGCTTTCATTTGCTGATGCTAGTAAACATTTGGGGCTCCCTCACTTTCCGAACACCGGGTTTAGCTGCTTGGAGATGTAGTTCTCCTTGTCGCTGATGCGCTTGGAGCCCAGCTGCAGCACGATGTACGGGTCCGCCTTGCCGTTCAGGTCCATGGGGTGGAGGTCGTTGGCCTTGACGATGTAGACGCGCACCAGCACGTGAATGGGCTCGTTGGACGGCAGGCCCTGAGTGAGTGGAACATACGTGGGGGGTGGTCACGAGTATTTTACAAGTAAAACTATAGGGTACTTCACTCAAAAGAAAATCAGAAAAAAGGGAGATCCGAAAAAATCCAGGGAAAATCAATTTTAAAAATAATATTAAAAAAACAACGGAAGAATCGGGGAAAAACAGAAAAATCACGTTTGAACGAATTTCCCTTCGAGTGAAAAAGTCTTGATTCGATATCACTCACCTGGAAAAAGCCATACTGTGGGTCGAAGCCCATGATGGTGTGGTCCTCCACGTCCTTGGGCAGCGGCCAGCGGTACACCTTGATGGCGCCCTTGAACACGCCCACCACCCTGCTCTCGTCCTCGGCCTCGTCGCCCGTCTTCTTGCCGCGCAGCAGGTCGAAGGTGAGCAGCCACTCCTTGAAGCCGTTGTAGTCGCCCTGCGCCTCCAGCTCGTTGGGGTACACCTTGGTGAGCGCGGTGCGCGTCTCGCGCTGCCGGCGCGCGCTCTTGGGGCTCAGCCTGGCGACGAACTTGGCCGCCGTCGCGGTGCCCTTGAGCGTGTGGTGGTGGCCCTTCTTCTTGTTGGAGTGGTCGGATCGCTCCGAGGCCGTGGTCGAGTGGCGCCGGCCGCCGCCCCCAGCGCCCTGAGCGCCGCCGCCGGGGCCCTGGGCGCCCGCGCCCGCGCCGCCGGCGCCACCGTCCGCGCCGCCCTCCTCCAGGCCGTGCACCAGGCCGTTCTGCTGCGTCGCCAGCTGCGTCTCCTTGCGCGCCTCCTTGCTCTCCTCGATCATGGCCTCCACCGAGGCGAAGTACTTGGTCCACCAGTCGCGCGAGCCCTCGTCGCCGTCCGCGTCGTCCACGCTCTGCTTGCGGTGCTTCCGGTGCGCGTTGGTCTTCATGTCCCTCCTGCCGTGGAGCCCCGTGCCCTGAGGAAGAAAACCGCACAACGAGAAAAATCAATTATAGAGCTCTCATGAAAAAGTTTCAAATAAAAGAAATATTGTTTGCACCCGGAATCTTCTGTAAGAGGATTGTTCGAGGCACATACACAACATGCTAACAAGACGACAGACAGATTGCACTACATGTTCAGCAAAAATTATGAAGCAGGCCAACCCGCAGTAGACGCATGCAGCGCAGACACTGTTGCCTACCTACTAGGCGTTAGGCGAGCACAGGCTGAACTTTGCCAGGTTCATAACAGACGCACTTTTTTCCGGAGGGTCGTTTGCAAGGCAAAGCCGCCCGCGTGCGTGTACGTGCGTGAGAGTGTGCGTGTGATATAGCCTCAATCAGGATGGCGGGAGGGGTGAATCAGCGACTCGATGAAATCATACTTACGTAGTCGAGCGAGATTGCCGTCTCCTTGGAGATGAGCGGGCTCATCTCGTGGTCGTCGTGGGATATGACGACGGTGGGGTGGAGTCCCGTGCCCGCCGCGCTCGCCTCCAGGTCTGCGAGAGAGAGAGAGTGAGAGAGAGATAGAACATTTCCAAGTCTGTTGCGCTGCTGCTGCTGCTGCTGCGCGGCTCGCACCGGGCTTAATCCTTTGGCGCCGCGCAACCACGTGACATCCCCGCAAATCTCTAGAGAGCCGGGCTGGACCACGGCGGCGTGGGATGCTGCGGGACTGATCTGACGCGACCCCGGCGGGATTGTTTAATCCCCCCTGGCAGAACGGTTGGAGGCCGGGTCACACGGGCCGCACGAAATAGGAATGCTTTTGGATGCGGAAAAGCGGTAGGGAGGGGGGGGAGGGGGGCGTTTTGGTTGTCAAAGGGATGCCGCGAGGGCGCGCAGGGCGCAGCAGGGAATATCGCATGTCAAAGACCCCCCCTCCCCCCTCGCTTCTCCGACGCCCCCGCTACGCGTGCCGCTTCAAGCACGTTTAAATGATGTGACTTTGACGCAGTTAGCCCCACTCCTCCCCCTCACCCTCGGTCCCGACCCCGCGTGAACCCCACACGACAAACTCACTTTGCAGCTGCTGCATGGACCGCTTGCGCTCCTCGGCCTCCCGCTCGCGCTTGGTGAGCGGCGTGTACATGTACTTGTGGATGGTGTTGATCATGTGCGTGCCGACCAGCGTGTAGCGGCCGAAGCTGCGGCAGTCCACGGCGCGGATGGTCAGCGGCGGCCGGTACAGCTCCTGCTCGGGTAGCTCCTGCAAAAAGGGCGAAGGGGGGAAACACAAAAATCAGTAAGTTTTTGGGAGGAAAAATCGCAATCTTTACACAGAAAAATTGATTAAAAAAAATACTCCAGAAATTTGCAGGAAAAATTGATTTATTTTTACCTAAATATAAATGGGCCAACAACATTTTTTAAACATGGTTCTTACCAAGTCGAGGAATTTAACCGGTGTGCTGAAATTGGGGTTCTTTTTCGCGTTTTGGATGACGGACGAGTACAGGATGTGACCCGCGCACTCGATGTCCACGCGGGGGTGGTCTACCTTCATCAGGTGCACCCTCTTGAGGTCGCGCAGGCCCCAGAAGAGCACCTCAATTCTGAAAAACCGGGCATGTTCCGCAAATCATCAGTCTGCAGTCGATTCAAAATGTGAAATCGAATCGATATCAAAATGATCAAAAAAGTGTCGATATTTGGCCAAAATGTTTTTTCATCCTTAATCTGATATTAAAATCGACATATAATTGACATAGAAATCGTTTGGATATCGTTGCAGCCGTGTTCCTGCTTCTTGGCGAGGACGTCGACACCCACCGGTACTTTGCGAGCGTTGGTCGGATGCCTCTCGGCACGGGTAGGATTGGTCCCTTGTCCTGCTGGCTGCTGGCCACCACCATGTCCTTCGGCGTGGGCAGCTCGGGCACGTCCTGGCCCGGCGGCGCGCCGCCCCGGGTCGGGGAGGGCACCTCGAGCAGCTCGAAGGTGGCGAGCAGCTCGCCGGCGTGGTCCGGGCCGCGGGAGATCTCGTACCACTCGAGCGACGGCGGGAACTCGGGCTTGGCGTACGGCTCGTCCAGCATCTTGACGTGTGGCTTGGCCATGGCGCGCCCGATGAACTCGGACTTGCCCTGCGGGGAGGAGACGGGCATGTTCTTATGCCTCGGGACACTTTTAGCGAAGAGATCTACGAACTTGCGGTTGTTGTTCATCTTTGCAATTAACTCATTTTTTCGCAAGGCTCACCACTTTGTCCTGGTCGAAGATCTCGATGATGACGGTGGGCGGGTCCTTCTTGACCTCCTCTCGGGTGCCGTAGACGAGCACGTCGTCGAACACGAGCAGCTCGTCCCAGGTGGGGCTGAGCGTCTCGTCGATGACCTGGGTGGTGCGGCAGTACTCGCCGATGACGACGCGCGCGAACGGGTCCGACAGCCCCGACGCGTCCGAGCCGATGAGGGAGCGCGCCTGGTACATGTAGGCCCGCATCTGGAACACCTGGAACACAGCACGGGACATTAATTTGTACCTACCATCAAGTGGGTGAAGAAATGTGCTCCCATTACTGAAAGGGGCACCGGCGTGCACATGCTTGCTGCCCTTCTTGGCGTAGGCGGTTCAAAGATTATGGGGTCCTAAAAAGGATCAGGACCACGATCGGAGTACATATGAACTCGTGATATTTTTACCCCAGGGGACAAATATCATGTTAAGCCGAGGAATTCCCATGGTGATTCTGAGTTTAATTAGGGAGTCCCCCTGTGTCACGAGGTCACGTAGTATGTGCACTACTCCTAACCGAGCACCTTATTGTCGAGTATTTATTCGAACCCTCCTGTAGCCTTCCCCCGCCGCTTCCCACTCTGTCTTACCCGCTTGTCGGTGTAGTGGATGACGCTGGGCGGCATGGCGCGCGGCCGGTCCGCGTTCCGTATCTCGTTGGAGAGCTCGTATCCTTTCGTCAGCCCGTCCACAAAGTTCTTCTTGTGCTTGAGCGTGCCCAGCCACATGTAGACCTGCAGCTTGGTCTGGATGGCCCAGCCGGAGGGACCCAGGCCGCGCTTGCCCGGCAGCTGCAAGTAAGGAGGTATTTTTTAGAGGTATCTATATTTTAATGAAAATTTTCCGTGAAATAAATCAAATTTTAATTCAAAGGTTCTTGAAAATTTTTAGCTTATACAATATGAGAGTGAGTGCAAAAAAAAAAAAAAATGATTAAAAATGTGATGACAGTCGAGGTGCGCACCTTGAGGAACATGGTCTGCACCTTGCCGCAGTCCCGACCGCACTCCTCGGCCACCATGGAGTAGATGAGGTCCCTGGCGGGGATGCGCTGGTAGGCGGTGCGCTTGTTGTTGCTGATGAGCCACAGGAAGATGTCCGGCAGCGCGTGCTGCGGCTGGAGAGAGGGAAGGGCGTTGAGTGAATTAATGGAGGGGCTCTCAGACCACTAACCCGTTTCTCCTTTTCCCCCTCCTCTCATTGCCCACCCTTTTCACCTTGTACTGTACTATACAAGCTCGCCTACAACTATTGTTTTCGCTGGGTCTGACAGCTGACCTTAGAGGCCGGCTTAACTACCACCCCTTCCACACCCACTCCCGCAGCCCCCTGGGCCCGGGCCGGAGGCCGGCGCACCCGCGGGACTTCGCCGCCCTTTGCTGCCCTCTCGTCACCCGGCAAGATAACGTGCTGTACTTACGTCTTCCACGAGGAACTTGAGCTTGTTCAGGTAAGTTTGAGCAGTCTTGTAGCGCTCCTTGAAGGAGTGCTTGGTTACGAGCGCCTTGAGGTTGCGCGCCATGGTGCCGATGTGCTCCTGGAAAATTGAGGGGAGGTGAGCGAGCAGAGCGTCAAAGGTTGGGAGTGCTGAGTGCGTACCGGAAATGGGCCAAACAAACGTCTCCAATGTCACGATACAAACAACTGCAGTGACACACTCACACAAATGTAAACATGTTCTAGTCAAGTCAGTATGCCCTAAAAAGTGGCCCTTTTCCTGCAGGTTGCTTTTGGAATGTCATGTAACTTCTCTTTATTTTTGTAAGTGCACCAAATTAAGATGCTAATCATCTGCCCCAGCCCCAAATCACTTTGATCAATCTAAAAGTACACACGAGAAAAAGTCAACGAAGTGTCAATAAAGTTCTGCTTACGATCTCTCGCTCGCATAGCCGCGCGCGCTCGCGGTCCAGCTTGGTCTTGCCGGCGCCGGGCTGCGAGGCGGCCTGGCGCGCCAGCGACACGTAGCGCGCGCACTCGGCGCTCAGGTCCTCGAGCACGGCGCGCAGGCGGCGCTCGGCCGACTGGTCCTCGTGCTCGGACAGCGCGTGCACCTCGGCCAGGCCCTCCTCGAGCCGGTCCGCCACGCGCGCCACCACGTTCGAGTTGTACATGCGGCGCCGCAGGTCGGGCCACACGCTGCGCACGTGCATGCACGGCTTGTCGTCCCAGTAGGGCAGGAAGTAGTACAGGCGGTCGTGCGTCATGGGCTTGATGGCCGTGGTCGTGCTCTGCCACGAGGACTCCGTCACCACCTCTGCGCGAAAAAAATAAATATTTGTTTTGTTTGTTGTTTTTACTGACTTTTTCCGACTTTATTTAAAATTTTTCTGATTTTTCTGAATTTTCTGATTTTTCTTAAATTTTTCTGTTTTTTCTCAATTT